AGCTTTCTTATTCATTCGATCGTTTAAAATCTGCTGTATCAAAATTGGATTTTCTTTCGCGATTTCTGCCAAAAGTTTTACTCTTTCTTCCATAGCAATCAAGTAATCCAACTAGAAACTCCCATAGGTTTATGAAAGTTTGGAACTTTATTTTATTTCATAAATATTATTTGAATGACCTTGCAGTGTCCTTTACGTTTCTCTATTTTTTTTAACTCAGATCCATTGCCTTCATTTCTTGTCTTTTCCATACTAAAATAAAATTTTTGAAGATTTTCGTGCATTTTCACTTGATAAAAAGCCTTTTTTTGTTCAATCTGTATTTGATTCAATCATGATGTAGAACTGTGATTATTATCTTTTAGTTTTAAAAGTCTCCTATTGAATTTTTGTATAGCATTCTTTAAATCGTTGACCCTCTGAGTTGTAAACACTATTATCATGTGCATTCCATGTTGTTTTCCGTGCTTAAATAAAATGTTTAGCTATTTTTCGATTGTTGTTATGTGGTTCAATGCCTCTCTACCACTGATGATGAATTGTAAATTTTCCTACAGCAATTATTCCTCGCTAATAGGACTGTATTTTATTTAACCACGATATGAAATTGGGTTAAACTCCGTAAATATTAAATCATCTATATTTCTATACTGTACATACATATATTATTATATGCCTGACAATGTAAATCACGCCCAAGAGGGAGCCAGTAGTCTTAATATATATATTTTTTCCCCTCAAGGAATTCTACCTGAAGTTCCACTCTCATGAGGCGATACATCAAATTATGTAAACGAATATGTACCTAGCATATATGCTTGTAAAATTTATTTAATAAAAGCGTTAATATGTATAAGTGGTAAAACGATTAATTTACCTCTCACGCTTTATAACACACCTTTACTGAAATGTGATTATAAGTTAGCAGCAAATGTGATAATAAGCTAAATGTGAATACCTACTAGCATTTTATTACACTTATCTTAGGATTATATGTTAGTTGAGTTAAAAAAAAATTAAACCTGTCTTGTTATATGGCTATGTACTTTGAGATGCTTTCTACAAGCATATAGCAAGGCTATATACTTTCAGAAATTAGTATTTAATAAAAGCGTAAAGATGTGTATGAGGTAAAACGATTATTTTATCTCTCACACTTTCCAGCACACCATTACTGAAATGTGATTATAAGCAAGCTTTGATTCACACAATCTAAAATCTTTACACACTTTGTACACTTAAGTTCCCATCCGGACTTTATTTTCGCAACCGTTAGTCGTCGACACACACTTAGTGAACATTTTTAGAAAAATCATTTAAAAAACAAAAAACTTTTTTTCTAAAATTTTTTTTTTTTTTCTTATTTGAAAATATTAATTTGGTAAAAGTTAATGAAATCTAACTTCTTAGAATTTCCTCCGGTTCCTATACTAAGCAAAATTTTGAATTCATTGTAAATAAATAAAGGCTAATAAAAATGTGTTTTATAAGCATTCGACGAAAATTAACCAGATATTTGATTTCAAAATTTGCGATATTTCACACCGTATGCAATTTGCATTGAGGGTTCGGTTAATTAATAAATTAAAAAATATTCGAAGTCCATTATTTTGCCTGAAATTCCACTCAATGATTTTCTGTCGTGATTTACTACTGTCTATAATTTGCTACTTTTAACTCCGTCAAAAGAATTTTCACAAAAGGAATCCATAAGATCTGAAATTCTAGAAATAGGTTATAAATATTTTCGTAATTTCTTCTTAGAATCATAATCTGGAATTCTTTAAAAATGCATCGAAGTCAAATATTTTTAACTTTTAATTAACGCAAATTATATTACGAATTGGGCATGGGCCAATATTCATGCCTTCAGGTTGCTCACTATCAAAACTTCTGAGCAAACAAGCTGACATATCGATAAGAAAATTAATTTCTTTGTAGCAGCCCTTTCTAAAAGAGCTATTTCTGGATAAAATATTCTTCCTACTTAAAGGCGAAAAAAATGAAAAGGAAGAAAAAAGAAAAAAAAGTTCAACATGTTTAACCAATTTAGCTCAGAGTAAGTACAATCAGCTTCTTTAAGGCAAATATCAAACGACTTTAGTTTCTGACGATGGATATTTAAAAAGACTGTGACGATGTGTGATTTAGACTCTGACGATGGATATTTAAAAAGTGGAGAATTCAGTATTCGTCGAATATTGCGATATTCTGATAATCCCTTAAAATTCGTGCTTTCGAAATCTCTGATAATCTCTTAAAATGCATGCTACGATTAGAAAATTTAATAAATTTGATAACAATGTGACGTTATTAGGTTTAATCAATGCAGCAAACGTGAAAAATATGGAGTGCCCTCCCCGAGTCTCGAACTCTGGACCTCTCGAATTACACGCCCAAGTATGCTTCCAATTAACCACGAAGGCATGCGGAAATGCGGAAAGGAGGCAATTTTATCAATTAATCAAAGTGTTTTTTTTTATACTAACTAGCTTTACATACCTGGTGTGTACCTTTAATAAGGCTTACTTGTACATTATGTAAACTTGTATTTTATGCCAATCGGTACCCCTCCCCACACATGTTGATGTCAGCATTTATTCGTATTCCTTACATTTTACAGCAATAATTCATAAGTTTGTCTTACGGATATCTGAGGTATGAAGGAATATGTGAAAAACACGTTCCCCCCCCCTTCGGGGCCGAATTTTGAAAACGTTTGAAATTCGTTTTTAAGTATTCGTATTCCATACATTTTAAAGCAAGAATCTTATGTACATCTGTTTCTTCCTTATATGAAAAAACATAAAAACACGTTTTGCCCGCCGAATCTTAAAAAATCGCTTCTTAAATGACATCTTCGGTACAAAAGGAATAAGCTCCTAAGTTTTGAAATCTGTATGTCTAATAGATTTGGGCGATGATCTGTAGATGAATAAATGAATAAATCAGGAATTCTTCCTTTATGTATAGATTTATAATAAAACATCTGAACAAATAAATATGCATACCAATTAAAAAGAAAACTATTTCAGAAAAACTAATATAAGAAATTAATTTACATTCAGTAATGCGCACCAAGTTCGTAACGTGCTAAACCGACACCACCGAGACTTAAGAAGGCCGTATCACTGAAAAGTGACGTCACGGTAAGGAGACCCCGTACCTTCGAGCGCCGGGAGGAAAAATGATCATTGCTGTTGAGTAGAAAGATACAACTTCTTTGCGTCAGATCTGAAAGCGGCGTTTTGGCTAGTGTTTATATATTTTGTGCTTTTAATAATGAATGTTATTTTTTTCCTAGAGAATTGCAGAAAACCATATAGATAAAAGGAAACTATTATTAATTTTTATATTCATAGATAGGATAATATCATATCTTGTTTAGTCATGTTTACGTCGTCGACCCAAAATTAATATATTAATTTTTTTTTTTTAAATTTTTTTTTCCAAAAAATTTCTATTCAGTATTTTAAAACTTTATATAATTATCTTCTAGCATCTAACTAGAAAGCAAAGTTAACAAAGTAATATTCAGTAGCATACTACTGGCTAAAATATATTTACAAAAATTACCATTAGTTTCGTTAATCCAAAAAAAACCTTTTAGTTCCATGTAAGAAAAGAATGCAAAAAGTTTTGCGTGAAAAAACAAATTTTTATTAGCACTTCAAAGATTATAAAATATTAAAAATTCACAAGGAAAAAAACAGACTCCATGTAGCAGATAAGTGAATGATAAACATGCTTTTCTTTAATACTCTTATTTTAATGCAATTATTTATTTAGTATTACTGCAGTTTTTTAATTCCAAGAATAAATGAGCAATTAATAGCATTATCCCCATTTCTCAAAGCTCAAAACATTATAGAGCTTTAAAAAAGCATGAAAATGCCTTTTCAGTTGAAGTAAATAAAAAAACTAAAACAAAAAAATCTAAATTTTAAACACTAACTAATTATTCAAACAAATTACTGCACCACTGTAGCAAGTGAATTCCTTTCCATATAATTTAAATGCTAGCAGCAAAATTATAATAACAATAAATTAGCTTATATGTATATTTGCACATTATTTATGGATGGAGTTAAAAAAATCTAAAATAAATCCGATTTTGCAATAAATGAAATAACATTATTACATTACATATTAGCACATTAGATGCAGCAAAACATTAAGGTTTCTACATTTAGAAAAATATATAAAATATACACATAAGAAATAAAGCATTGAAATAAAGTAGTGCATTTTTTGCTTTATAAAATATATAAAGGAGTTTTGCTAAATCAAAAGCTTAATGTCGTATAAAAAGAATAAACTGCTACTTTGACCTTTCTATAGAATTCATTTTCACACATCTATAATAAATTCGCATGGTATCATAAGTATTGTTGATCATCATACATAATGCAAATAACATATTATTTATTAGTAGAACTGAAAAATTAAACTTAACTATATAAATATTTCTTTGCAAATTGTTTATGCTTATTTTTCTAGAAAAAAAACGCCTAAAACTTAATTAGTATAAAAAATGAAATAAATGTATACATTTGCATATTAATATTGCAAATATTATGGGTACACAAGTACTACCTCATACATCTTTATCTATCATTTTTAATCACACTAATCAAAACTAATAACACTACTTTCTCTTTTCAATTGTAACCAGAAATCGTTAAATACAATTAAAATATATTTAAGTCATTTAAATGTTTAATTGAAGATTAGATTTCCATTAAATCATGAAGTTTGCATATAATACAACAAAATAAATAATTCATTCAAATTGCCATAAAAATATATTTATAATGTTTCATTAATATTTAAAACATTTTATACAAGCATAAATAAAACTTACCAAACAGTTACATAAACTTAAGGCCTTTATTTAAACTGAACACAAATTATCTATTTTACTAGAGTTTGAAGCTTTCGTTTCCTTAAAGTACTTCTCAGCACATCATTCTTTTGATTACAGTAATTTTTAAGAAAAGTATTGCATGATGCTTTTATAACAAAATTTAGAATATTTTCTAAGGTTATTACATTGGTCATAGGTTATGCATTCACCGTCTATTAAAATTTGATACGTTAATGCCCATGCAAGAGATCGCTGATTGCGTACCTTTAAAAAATTGTCTTCATGTTCTTCAGATACTAATATTTTGACTACAATATAGGTATATGAGATACGACAGTTATTACATTTGGTTGTGGACATAGCAATCCGCCTCGGTCCATATTCAGTATGAAACGATATTCTTCATCCAATTCCAAAGTTTTGTCTAAAGTTAGGTTTCCCGACAATACTCACATTTCACAGTCTTCAGAAATCTATATACGCAATATCCAGCGAGATATGTTATGAGTGGCATTACATTAATAGAATCCAGTTCATTTTGAGTTACTTGTAACGTACAGAAGGCACTAATAAAATTCTTGTCAGTATTAATGAGGTCAATATTATCTATATCAAAACTTCTGATTTCAATTTTTCCAGGAACAGCATTGCATACTAGACGAGGATGCTGTAAAACTGCTGTCACTTTTCTGCCAGTTCTTTCATCGTAGATTTCTGAAACTCTTTCGATGTCACATGCAGCAAAATGAAGCTCACAGACCTAATGAAATAAAAGAGACAATTAGAATCCTCATAAAAATTCTATAAGGAAAAAATTTCTTTTTTTTTAAAACTTTCTAAAATGTTGTAATAGGTGTATTTAAGTAAAAAATATTAGCTTAATTGAAAATCAAGAATTTTCATTAATCAGTAAGTTCAAAAAATTACTTCTTATAACAAGAAAACAAAATATGGTTATTTTAAAATTTGATGGTTTTGCCAGATTCTTTATTAGCTTAAATTCGAAGCTAAATTTTAGGGAGCATATACTTTTAAAATATTTGTCATTATAGTTCAAGAATATATTTAATGGAAATTTTCTTCTTTTGTTTACCTTTTTTAAATTATAAATACAGTTTTGACTAATGTACTTCATAATGTTTTACAATTGGCCTCTTTTAACTATTACTGAATTTGAGAACGGACGTCAATTGTTCAGTTTTTATGTGAACTAAGTATTAAAATATTTTGGGCCTAAAATGCTACATTTTTAATACATATTATAATTAATATTGAAGTTCTCTTATGTCAATATCACTCTAGATTGCTATGGCATGTTCTAAATATTTGTTAGTTACAATACTTAAATTATTTAACCATTTAATTAGCATTTTCTAAAATTAACGATTCGTAAAAAGATTAGAATTATAACTAGGATAATCATGAATTTTTTCATTACAAATTTATGTTAACCAAAAAGTATTTTATTATTCAGTTGTGAAAGGTGACAACTGAAATTTTCAAATCATCTGACATTTTGCATACAAAAAAAATATATTAGCTAATTTTTTTTTTTCCTCTTAATTCTTTTGAAAATATTTCTTACCTATAGACCAAAAACTTATATAGACCAAAAACTCTATAGACCAAAAACTTATATACCTTCAGTTGCATAAATACAGTGAACGATAAAATATATAGTGAATGATATGGAATGCATTAATAAAATATAATGAGCAGATTGATATTTAGTATGATAGAACAGTAATCAGTAATCAAGAAAACATATGTTTCTTACCCTAGAAGCTTTCGTAGGCTGGAAGTTTTCTCGATGGATCGCCATTATCCATTTCTTTCGAAGATGTGGATCCCTCGGGAAACGAAAAATTGACACTTTGGGCTGTCCTTTGTAGTTTCCTTTACATCCAAGGACGCAACATCTAGCTGGCATGATGAGTGTTTAATCCAAAACGTAAGCGTAAAACAAAAGGAAGAGAAAAACGTTTTCTACAGGAGATACAAAAATACAGCAATGGCGAACGGTCACACCAAGACTACTGAGAGCTCGTGAACATATCAGTCAAAGGTCAAGGCTACGAGTCGCAAGAGGTCTCCTCATCGTGACGTAAGATGACGTAGCGAGGGGAGTGATACGGCCTTCTAAGTCTCGGTGATGTCGGCTAAACGCGTGGCGTTTTAAAAAAATCGGCTATGACCACGCCGAGCTCCTTGGAGTAAACACGCTGCGCGTGAATCTGCGCAAAAGTTCAGGGAGGAATCCGGAGGAAACTAGCACCTGAGGGGCTAGACGCTTGTATTCACAAAGAAACTGCCCAACTCTTCTTAATGACTCATCCTGACATCCCCTGAGGAATTTTCATGGAGGTAGGAAAGGGAGGAGGGGCAAACCCGCGCTAAAAGTGAACACTGCTTTGAAGCTTGGGTCACCAGATGGGGTGTTCTTTGTTTACATTCAGAAGCTCGCTTGACAAGATTCTGATAGTATTTCGACACACGACAGTTCCATACAAATCGAAAAAGGGACACATTCGCATGAAAGAAACATTCATAGTGTGATGAATAATAGCAATTTGTATAGTTTAGTGACATTTACGCAAAAATCACAGCTTGGTTATTTTTCGATAACTAACAACAGCGATTTTGATTATGAATTTGTTTTATAAAATTATAAGCTGTTGCACTACAAAAATATAGATTTTAAGAAAAAGTTATGCTTAAAGAATGAAAAATACCTTACGGTACATTTAAAGTTGTATACGTCTTTCGATACCCTTGATAGAGTGTTCGCTACTTTTATTTTATTTTCCAAACTCAAAAATGTTTTAAATAAAACAAATTTTTTTCACATCCATATATTATTGTAACACGTACCTTTTAAAAAATTTTTTAGAGGAGAGGCTTTACTGCTGCTGCTCATTTTAAACCCATCGTTTTAATTTTATATATCTGAAAAATAATCACTTTGGGCTTACACGTTTTATAAATATAAAATTATGTATGTTAAAATATTTGTAATTAGGCACATAGGTGAGATTAAGTTTTTATTAAATAGATTAACGCATGCAAGGGCTATCTGCCTAAAGAGAGCGATGCCATCGTGGAGGAATTTTGAAGAAAAACTGACCTTTGAGTGGGTATTAAAAATAATACTTATAATTTTCATTCAAATTATATTCATATATATTTTTTATATAAAACTTTCGGGTGTATGCTAAATTATTAGTGTAAATTACTTTACACGGAAAATATAGTGAATGCACACAGAAATTAATGATTTGCACATGCCGGAATGAAATGAAAATAGGAAATATGTATGGGTATTTATGCATGTGCTTGCAGAAAGCATGTATCTGCCTTTGACAAAATACTTAAATATTCATTAAATTATTTATAAATGTATTTGAAATGAAGAATTTATTCACTTATAAACAACTGGTGAAAGTACTGTGAAGAAAGAAATCTAATTATTAAATGTATTTAATTTATAATGATTATAAATGTTATCTAAATATAGAATAACCTTAATATTGAATTGTAAACATAAATTGAAATCCTGTTGACAAATACGTTATAAAACTATTTAAGCGAGAATTGTTTGTATTGGAAAGCAATCTGTTAAAAGGTATTGTAAAGCAAATGCTATGAGATGCGCACTTAAGAACGTAATAAAGAGTTTTGGAATACGTATTGTTGAAATGAAGGGTAAAAAAAAAAAAAAAAAAAAAAAAATCTGATAAGTGTAATTAAAAGAATTATTCCCCTTACATTTTATAATAACTCAGTTACAAGTTTTAAATAATACTTAAAAAAAAAAAAACTTATTTTATTCCCTTTCAGAAATGTTCAGAGAAAGTCAAGTACTATTTAATACCTATTTAATTATTAGGAATTAGCGAAATACTTATTTAAAATATTTCGCTAATTCCTAATAATTCTCTAATTTGAAATGAACCGAATAGAGCATTAATTATAAATTGACTTACATTCTTTGATTTAAAAGATGCCTCAGAAGCCAAAAAATCATGTCATATTTAAGAAAGTATTTTAGGAAGAAGCTCTATAAATAGATAAGAAATAATGCATAATTTTAATATTAATAATACAATAAACTTTGATCTTAATTTTTGTACCTTAACCGAATAAAATCGAATTACCTTATTTTTTTTTCTAATGTAATTAACGAAAACTTGTGAAAATATTTCATTCAAATTAAACCATTCTGAGAAAACTGTCCTGTGAAAAGTATAGCATTTAATTCCGTTCAGAATGAAATGTTGTTTAAAAATATGCTGTTTTCACATACTTAGGACTCTGAAGTGTTGTAGAAAAAGAAAATATATACATTTATATGTATATTTACGACGTAATTACAAAATATTTACATCCGAACGCGTCAAATCCCATAGATCTCAATGGTAAATGACCCAATGTTTTGGTCACTACGTAGGGATCGTCGGTGCTAGAGAGCAGGGTACGGGAGAAACTTGTTTAGGGCGACTCCATCTTACTTCTTACCTTCATGGGAACTTTGGGAGGGGACTGTACTCCCCGATTTCGCGTAAACAGGAAGATTTTTTTAAAAACGCGGAAACAAGAATCGCGGAAACAGACCTAAATCGCTCAAAGCTGTCACCAACGGCAGGCGTAATCTAGCGGTCCTTGCCACGAGGTATTTCGTGGGCTTGGGCTGACTTCGTCAGACAAGTGAGCATAAGCAATAACAGTAAAAAAAAAAAAAAAAAAAAAAAAAAAAAAAAAAAATTCAGTATTGAAAATCTCCGAAGTTTGTATTTGTAATAAAAATGCAAAAGAAAATAAAATATCAATTTAGGAATATATATTAAAAATTGCCGTTTACATTTTACTACAAAATTTCATCACAACCATTTGATATTATTTTCGATTTTATAATGCACAAGACCTTGAGTAAGAAATTTGACATCTGATCGAATATAGATCAACTTTATTAAAAATATTAGTTAATTCATAAAAATAACAATAGCTGCGAAATTGTATTCGGAAATCCGGAAAAATAGTTTTTTAAAATATAGTTTTCAATATACTTACAGGCGACGTGCTTTTCTCTCTCTAAGTTAAAAAATCTCTAAGTTTTCAGATTTTAAAATTCCGGATATCATATTCCAACGAAAATATCCATTTTGACTGCTATTGAATGAAATTTAGCAATGTCTTTGCGTGATATCTATACGCAAGGATAGAATAAAGAACTATTTTTCCTCAAACGAATTATAAAATTGATTTAAAATGAATTCCGAAGAGATTTTTTCGTGGCGGGCTTCTATACCCACGTACGTATCTCGCATAACTGAAATACTAGTAGGTTCAGAACGTTGGAATTTTGTATCTGGGACTGCTATAATATGCACTTGTAAACCTTTTTGGTTGCCATCGGCCGCACGAAAATTATATAACTATATATACAGGGTGGTTTAAAACTTTCAAAAATATAAAGGCAGACAGAAGGGACCTGAATAAGCAGATTACGTATAGGAACGTGTGTTCCGTAATGCCGCAATAAAGCGCTAGCACGTAATGCAGTATGAATGATAGGAAACTGAAAACACAAGTAAAGACAAAAGAAAAATAATATTAACAGTTTACAATAGGTGCCCCAAAAAGTGGCCACCATCAGAGATACAACAATCACAGTGGTGGCACATGAATCGACGTACATTAGAAAAGACGTCGGGTATTTCGAACACATATTTAGCAGAAACAGACAAGCAGGAAGCAAGAACTTCTGAAGATGTGACGGGCTTTCAATATGACCCCAAAAGAAGAAATCCAAGCAGGTAAAATCAGGCGAACGCGGAGGCCAGGGAATTGGTCCTCCCCGTGCTATCCAATGCTGGCCCTACCCAACGTCTAAGCGATTTTTGACGTTCCTGGACGCATAAAAACGATTCACTCATGCTTAACTCCCGATGAAGGTGCTTAAATGTTCTATGATCCGAGTGATTCTTATCCGGCAATCGCTGCCTGTACATCTTTCAAGCAGCTAATGCATTTTCTTGTCTCTGCATATACAGAGTGCACACGAAAGTCCGGTACCACCCGTTTAACTACCGAACGGCTGCGGCTATATTCATAAAAATTGCGTCCCGTATAGTAAAGTGGTTATGCGCTACCAGAAGAGATACTTTCAGCACCACCTGGTAGAAAACAGCGGAGTTAGCGACCCTATCTCGAAAATGATACGAGATAGGAAGAAAACGTGAATTATAGTGTTATAGAACATCGACGATTTAGTATGAACATACACCTTGTGGACATGACTGTTAAGAATATAACGTTTTAAACGCGCATTTGTTTGTTCGCGATTTTCAAACTCCGAACGTCACGAAACGATCTTAGAAAGAAGACAACTAGTTATATCAAGCTACCTTTATTTTCGATAAATAAATCTCTTCATCAGATGAAATGCACATCTCTTCATCAGATGAAATGCACATCTGGACCCTTGTTAGAACTTCATGTTGCACGTTGTAGCATAGCGGGTGACACGTTTGTACAAGCATCTGTAATACGTCGTTGAAAGTCCTGCAATGTATGTTGAGAGGTCGCATACACCGGCTGTTAAAGGTATCCATACAGGAAAAAAAAGTCTATTGGAGTCAGCTCAGATGAATGTGGTGGCCACTCTTCGAAATCACTGTACCCGATTACTTGTTCTTCGAATCCCTCCATCAGGTACTGCATCACTTTGAACGTCATGTTGGAATCATCCATTCAGGAGCTGAAGCAACAGCAGGTTCTCAACAAAATCCGGTATTATGTCTTGCAGAAGTTCTAAATATTGCGCGGCCGTTAACGTACCCTGATAAAATATTGAGACGAATACTCTGTTATTATAAATTCCACACCAAACATTAATCGAAAACCGCATTTGACTTCAAACGTTGCAGAACATGATTTTCCAGTGCCAAGTCTTATTGTACATTTCATTCCGCAAAAAGCATGCCTCATCCGCCCACGCTATACTTGCCAAGAATGTTGGCTGGACCTGTATCTGGTTTATGACGAAGTCGCACCATGCGAAACGTCTCTCGGCATCCCCGTCCAGTAATGCCTGATTAGGTGTATGGATGAGCACCTAATTCATTTAGGATTTTTTTAGAGGCCATA